CGTGTGAACCTGTGTGCACATGGCCCTGCACCTGCACTCCAGCAGGAGACCCCAGGGCGGGATGTTCCAGAAAACAGACACTCCTCCCACTGTGCATGATGGGACTCTCCGTACCTCTGCCGACTCACCGCCAGCACCAGCCAGAGAGAGAGGGACAGCAGGTCCCACAGCAGCAGGAGGCAAGGTCTGCCTTCCCGGGGTCAAGCACCTGGGCCGGGGGGGTTACTGACACTGAAGCCCCACCTGGACCATCGTCACCCTCTTCACGGACACTGTCTCCAAGGCAGCACCTGATCCCCGCCAGGCCCTCAGCATGGGAACGAGTAGGCCAGCCCCACCAGCTGTCCAAGCTGCACACATCCTGGTCTTGAAAGCACACTCTGGTCCCAATAAAGCGATAACCAGAGGCCTATGCCCCGAAACTATCACACAGATGAGTCTTACAACATGTGTGGCTCTGGCTGGTTTGGCTCAGTGGTTAGAGCGTTGGCCCGCAGACCAGAGAGTCTCGGGTTTGGTTCCCACTAGGGGCATGTACCTCAGTTGCAGTTTGTCCCTGGCCCTGGTTGGGGTCATGTGGGTGGCAACCACTCGATGTTTCTCTCAGGTGATGTTTCTCTCTCTCTCTTCCTCCCACTCTATCTGCAGATAAATGCAAAAATGTCCTCGGGTGAGGATAGAAAAAAAAAAAAAAGAAACCAACACATGTGTGTACGTGTGAGTGTGTACATGTATATCCACACATGCTCTTAAGGACATGCATAAAAAGGGAAGGTTAGTTTTTTTAAATGAGGTTAATCTATTATGAAAAGATTTTCAGACAAGTTACATCAAGTTGCCCAGATGTGCGTTAAGGTGTAAATACATTTTTATAAGCTCTGTGTATGTCTGTTTGTCTTTATGTACATTTCTCTCTGGAAGGATAAACCACAAACCATTTCTAAAAAGATGGGAATCTGGGATGAAACAGAGAATAAAATTTTGGTTATTATAATAATTTAACCAAATTATTACATTTGGTTCTGCATTTAATTTTGATAAGCATATATTACTTTTATAATTAAAATTTTAATATTAAAAAAAGAAATTACCTTTCTTGCTTATTAAGCCCCAACCTTTTGTCTGGATGGTGGATAGGACAGCTTAACCAGTTTTCCTGAACACTAATGTGATTTTTTTTTGTTTTGCTTTCTTTTTTATCCTCACCCAAGGACATTTTTTCATTCACCTTCAGATAGAGCGGGAGGGAGAGAGGGAGGGAGAGAGAGAGAAACATCGACGTGAGAGAAACACATGGAGTGGCTGCCACCCACACGACCCCAACTGGGGCCGGGAACAAACTGCAACCAAGGTACGTGCCTTAGCGGGATCCGACCCCAGGTCTCTCTGCACCGCAGGCTGAGGCTCTAACCGCTGAGCCAAACCGGCCAGGGCGTTAAGGGAAAAACCTTACATTGCCCGAGATATGCATTCTCCAGACACAAGCTGGCCTGCCGAAGTCCAAGCCCTGACCAGAACTCCCAACACAGCCACATGGGGTGCAGCAGGTGCAGAGGAGCAGCGCCCGCCCAGGCCCTGGCTGTGGGGGCACCTCCCGGAGGCAGGGGGGGCCACGGGGCGGGAGGGGGGCTGCACTCTCCTGGGCTCACAGCCGCCCTGCAGCAGGGGTGCAGACCCAGCCGAGTCTCCACGTGGACAGGCTCCCACCGCACATGGACCGAGCCATGCTTCTGCACAAGCCGTCTGCCTAAGTCCTTGGGCTTCCCCTCATTCAAGAAGTCACGAAATAGTGGGCTCCCAGCCACAGCGGACGCTGCCTGTCTCAACCATGAAAGACCAACTCCACCTTCCTCAGAGAACGTTCTGGGTCTCCGGAAGGTCCCCAGTCTGGTCTCCCTGGGACTCTCTCCGCCCTCACACTCCCTGTAGGAGACATGGCCCCACAGGGTCATCATCAGGTAGATTCTGCAGGAGGGGGGACTAACCTCTCACGGGGTGAGGGGGTCCCCTGCTTCCTGCCCAGCATGCCCTCTTGCTGCAAAGAGCACAGTCCCCACCGGCCTGGACGCTCTGAGACCAGCCAGCCCAGAAGGCTGGAAGCCAGGCTCCTGAGCACCCGGCAGAGGGGGGAGAGAGGAGCCCGCGAAATAAGCCACAAGAAAGGCCCTGTTCTAACATTAGTATCTAAGAAAGACTAAGGAAAATGTTAAAGTCGCCTTAAAATTAGCAAAAAAAAAAAAAAAAATTTAGTAGAAAATAAGAATGAGCTGAAATTGTAGTAATAGTGACATAGGAGCGACGCTCTGTCCCACCATTTGTCAGTGAAGGGCCATGAGCACAGGCACTGGATATGCTGGCTGCTGAGAGCCACGCTGAGCGGACCCCCAGGGGCACTGAGGTCCCAGAGCCGCGTGGTCCACACACGACTCTGGCCGACAAAGATCCTCCCTGCCGCTGGGCTGGCTGGCACGTGACATGATGGCAGTGTCTACCCGGGCACCAGGACCCGGCAGGGACAGGTGGACCCCCCTCAGGGCACAGTGGAGGGGTTCTGAAGACCAGAGTGGCCCCTTAGGGTGTAAGCGCAGGCAATACGCTTCTCCGGAGCTTGGGCCTCATCTGACAAACACAGATAAGATTTGCTCCGTAAGGATGGGAAGAGAATGGACCGATGAGGAATTCTAAAAGTGCCCAGCCCCGAGCCCACGTGCATAATAATAATGACAACAGTACAATAACAATGGGTTTCCAAAGGGAGTGGATCAGGTTACAGCCTTCACAATATGTGAGCTCCCCACTGGCTGTCCTCTTCATTTTAGCCATTCTGGTGCTGCGTACATCACACCTGTGGTTTTAAATGTTCATGTGTCTGATGAATGAGTCGCACACCTTTTCACACGTTCATTCGACATCTGAACATCCTCTTTGGAGAGGCACTCAAGTCATAAATGAGTGTTTTCTCTATTTCAGCATTGATGACTACTAGCGTGGGGGGCAGGGGCTGCTGGTCAGTTTTGCTGTCTCTTTCCTGCCTCTGGAAAGAGTTAGGTTGTGTATATATAATGGTTTGTTGTGTGGATGTGGGTTCACCTCACCGGATGCTCGGTTCTGAATCTGCTCTGGGGATCGATCCATGGCTATTACGAGTCCTAAAAAGCACAATGTCTTCAACTCGCCATTCCTCTTCTTCCCCTTCTTCCCGGCCCTCAACAGTTACAGGACAGTGAGGTCCCATTCCCAAAAACCAGGAAGAGCAGACTGATGTCCACCTCCAATCTCCCCAAACTCCATCTTTCGGGGAGAGTTCCGGCTGATGACTAGCGACCCCGGGCCACTCTCCGCAGGAACACGCCTGCTGTGCACACGCAATGCGCCTCACAGATCACCAGGCTCTCGGCACCACCCACAGCCCCTGCGGCACCACAGGCTGTGCCCTGGGCCCCAGCATCCCTGCCAGCTGCAAAGGAGAGAATCCTCTCCGTCCCGAGCATCCTCCAGCTGTTGCTGATGATAATCCAACAGGAAAAGAAAGGAAGTACTCGGAGTGCAACCCTAGTATACAATGTAACTGTGATTTCTTTTGCGCACAATAGTAGCTTGCAACATTGAACAGCTGAAACCATAAACTGTGTATTAAATCAATAATGAGGGAAGAAAGCAAACAGTTTTGATTCAGAATGTTGGAGATGAGACCCATAGGGTACTGGGAGCTGCCGCTTGTATCACATTTATGTTAACAGTTACTACATAGGCACTCATAAGAAAATTGCTATTTTAATTTAAAAACTAAGGTAGTACTGTAGTGCTCAGTTCATTTATTTCAGCAACATTATTTTAAACAAGTCATGACCACAAATATAAAAAGTGTGAGATTGGCATCAGGCTGCATCACCCCAACTCGTATCCCCAAAGCTGTGTGTGTTCAGCAGTGGTGGCTATCAGCACACTGTTCGTTGTAATGATCACAGAGGGACTTGAACTGCATGCCCACGAACTAGAAACTGTAAGTCAAACGTGCAACCTCCAGGCATGGTGGCTGGGACCCGCTCTCCCCAGAAAGCACTTTAAAAGACAGATGACTCCAGACCTACAGAAGAAATGGCAGGAGGCCACCTGTCAAGGTGTAACTAATATAAAGGAACCGGTCGCTCACTCACCTAATACTAGTAGATCTCAGAATGAGTGCGGGTGCAGGAGGGAGGCGGTCAGCATGGAGCCTAAAAGAAGGGTCCCCAGAGCCGGGACACAGAGGACCGAAGAGAGGGCCCAGGTAACTGGAGGCCACTCTGTGGGATGGGCCTGAGGACAGAGCCCTCAGGTCCACTGAACTAGTTACCCCCACGCGCACCCCCAGGGGAGTGCCCCACAGGAGCTGACCACCCCATGGCTGACCGGGCCCTCCTCCTGGCAAACATGCACACAGACCACAGACCTCGGGGCCACAAGTCAGCCCTGGACGTCTAAACTGGACAGCTATGTCCATCTCAAAGAGACTCTCGGACTTCAGGGTCTGCTAACAAAAGCCAGGTCCAGCTCTGCTGGGGTGACACCCACTGCTGCACCCCTGCAGACACCCTGGGACCCAGCAGTATCTTTAGCCTGGGCTCTCAGCTCACCCCTACAGGGAAGAACAGGAGGGGAGACCACATACCTGAACTTTTTCATTTGGATTTTGGACAAATGAGAACTGATTAAGAAATATCCTTTGGCTGTAAGAAAACTTCAAAGTATATACCACTTTAAGAAAATCAATGAACATGCACTAAGGCCCAACTGCTCCACAAGGTCCTTCAATGTCACTGAAGCTTACTCAGAGAGCCTGGCTCTCAAGGCAGATGGACTTCTGTGTCTGCCAGCAAGCGCTGTGCCCAGATCACAGGGGCGGGACACACTCCAGGGCTGCTCCAGGAAACAGAAACACACACACACACACACACGCACACACACGCACACACACGCACGCATGCACAACCCACTCATGCCTCTTTCTCCTAACTTACCGAGGCTCAAGGTCGGCTCAGCCAGTGGGAGTAATCGTCCTTAGGGGTTTTCACCTTGAAGGCCTAAAAGTGAAAGGCACAAACACATGTACTTACACGTAACCAAACTCATGCCCATCAGGGGAACTGACCATTATGACCGAATTTTATTTCCCGTGAATTGAATATTCCACTACCTTCAGCAAACACCAAGGCTGTGGCCTATCGGGGCCTTCCCAGGCTGGGGCCTCCCACTGCCTGATAAGCAGGCCCCACAGATGGCTCACAAATGAACAAACCCCAGGAAGGACCGCAAGGCAACTTCAACCTCCCTGCAGGCTCTCCGGAGCCACTGAAGATGGGCTCCTCCCACCATGCTCCTGCCCTTCAGATCGAAACAGCCCCAGGCCGCTGGCCCCTCTGGACACCAGCTCCGTCCCTCCCAGAGCCTCCCAGGCGGCAGCTCTGCAACCTCATCGGCCCTCTTGCTCCCTCCCCAACCCCGTGAAACCCTGCACACTGGGCTCCCCTCCAGGACAGCCAGCCCCTCCCTCCCTCCAGCATGACCTGAGGCTGTGATCAACAAAGTGAAACGCCAGGTCCACTGGCCAGCGTGAGTACTTTTTGTTTGTTTTACGTTGTGGTGAAATATACAGAAAATGCACCATTTTAACCATTTTGAAGTGCACAGCTCAGTGACATTAAGCACTTTCACACTGTGGTACAACCATCACCACCGGCCATCTCCAGAACTTTTTAACTCCCCAACTGAAACCCTGTCCTCATTGAACACTAACTCCCTGCCGCCCTCCCCCGGGACCCTGGCACCCACCATCTACTTTCTGTCTCGGTAAACCTGACTCCTCTGAGCACCTCGTATAAGTGGAATCGCACAGCTGACCTTTGTGACTGACTGGTTTCACTCAGCGTGATATCCTCCGAGTGCCTCCATGTCATAAGCATATTTGTTTTAAGGCTGAATAACACTGCACTGTATGTATACACCGCATTTTTATTTTATAATTCTTGTAGTTGTAGGTGTGTGACCCACTTTGAGTTCAGTTTTTGGTACCGTGGGAAGAAGTAGGACAAAGGTCCACTGTTCCGGCATATGGGTGTCCAGTCAGCTGGCACCATCTCCTGAAAACACATCACTGCCTCGTCGAATCACGCTGCTACTTGTGTTGGAAACTGGCTGATTATCAACGCGTGGGTTTGTTTCTGGAGTCCACTGCTCTTCGTGCACACCTTTGCACCGTGTCCAGATGACTGGAGCAACAGACAGTCCTAAAACCAGGTCGTCTTTTGTTGGCCTCTTCAAAACTATTCTGGCTATTCTAGGTCTTTGGATTTCCATGTACATTTTAGAATAAGCGTAAATTGCTAAAAAACAAACAAACAACCAGAAAAACCTTGCCCGGATCATGATTGTGATCGCACTGAATCTCCATGTCAGTTTCGGTAGAACTGACACATGAGTAACATTGGGTCCTCTGGTTCATTAACATAGTATATCTCGGACTTCCGGTCATGGTGGCGGCTTAGGTAAAGGTGCACTTGCCTCCTCCCACAACCACATCAAAATTACAACTAAACTACAGAACAACCATCATTCAGAACCACCTGACATCGAGCTGAATGGAAGTCCTACGACTACGGAATTCAAAAAGCCACATCGAGACTGGAAGGAAGGGTGGAGACGTGGGTGGCTGGTCCCACACCCACGTGTGAAAGATAAATACCAGGAGGACACCTCGGCTGGGAAGGTCCTCCCTGAGGAGCAAAGGGTCCCTGTCCCACACCAGGCCCCCAGCCCAGGGTTCCAGTGCCAGGAAGAGAAGCCCCCATCACTTCTGGCTGTAAAACCAGCAGGAACTGAGGCTGAGGCGGCTGGAGCCCCAGGCAGCTCCTCTTATTTATTTATTTTTATTCCTCACTCGAGGATTTTTTTTTTTTTAATCTTCACTGAGAACATTTTTGCATTTATTTTCACATAGAGCGGGAGGGAGAGTAGGAGGAAGAGAGAGAGAGAAACATCGATGTGAGAGAGACACATCAACTGGTTGCCACCCTCACAACCCCAACCAAGGCCAGGGACAAACTGCAACCAAGGTACGTGCCCTTGGCAGGAACCGAACCCAGAACTCTGGTCCGCGGGATGACACTCCAACTGCTGAGCCAAACTGGCCAGGGTGAGAATTTTTTTTTTTTCCCATTTATCATCAGATAGAATGGGAGAGAGGTGGAGAGAGAGAAAGAGAGACATCGATTGGTTGCCTCCTGCAGGACCCCGACCAAGGCTGGGGACGAACCGCAACCAAGGTACATGCCCTTGACTGGAATCAAACCCAAGACTCATTGTTCCATGGGCCGCTGCTCTAACCACTGAGCAGAACCGGCCAGGGCCCAGGCGGTTCCTTTTAAAGGGCCCGTACACGGACTCAGCACACAGACTTACTTGGACTCACTCCTTCTGGGCTCTAGCATTGGGGAGACAGCTTGAAAGGCACCAGAGACACACTGGAAAGAACCGAGTTGTTTAGCATTGGGGTGAGAGCTGGAGGGGCAGCTTTCTCCTGGACAGACCTGCTGGCGGAGGCTGATGTTGCTTTGGTGAGCTCTTCCCTGGGACAGCAAACTGTCGCCATATCTGGGAGCAACCTGGTTCATGCTGTTTGCCCCGCCCTGGTGATTCCCTGAGGTCCTGCCTCACCCAACCTTCAGGCCCACCCAAGCTGTTACCAATGGCTTTACTATAGGATTGGCCTGTCTTGGATCCTGCTTCAGATTTTCCTAAAATCTCTCAAACAAGCAGCATTTGGTCTCAGCGAGCCCCATACCTCTCATTAAGTGGCCCCAGGCCTGGCACTAGAAGTAGTCAGCCTTGGTTAACAACTTGGCCTTTCCTGGGTACCTCCAAGCCCAGCACAAGAAGTAGCCATCTGCAGACCACTTTGTAGCTTATGCTGGGTGGCCCCGGGGAGAACACAGGCAGAAGCTGACCTTGCCCCAGAGCCAGCACACCTGGTGGACAGCTTCAGACCACAGCGAAGCACCACCACCCAACCACCTCCACAAGTGACACACTCAATGAGTGGACTCAGAGGTTACCAGAGCCCTGCTGAAGTAAGTCTTGCTCTGTGTGCTGGGCCCCTACATCGCAGATCCTCCCAGGGAGTCCAGAGGCCAGTGGTCAGTGGGCACAGCCAATCCTTGAAGCTGATTAGCCTGAGTAAATCCCTCCCATTGATGTGACAACAGCAATCAAGACTCAATTACAACAGAAGGGTGTAAAGTCCACACCAGGAATGCACCTCGAGGGCCCAGCTGGGGTGAGCAGGGAGGATATGCCACTGGACCTACAGGACACCTACAACAATAGGCCACCCTACGAAGCCTAGGAGACATAGCAACTCTGTCTAATACATAGAAACAATCACAGAGAAGCAGCCAAAATGAGGAGACAAAGAAACATATCCCAAGTGAAAGAACAGAACAAAATTCCAGGAAAAGAACTAAACAAAATGGAGATGAGCAAACTAACTGAAATAAAGAATAATTTACAGGGAATCAATGGTAGAGTAGGCAAAGCCGAGAAGCAAACCATCAATTTGGAATATAAGGAAGCAAAAAACACCCAATCAGGGGACCCAAAAGAAAAAAGAATGCAAAAAAAAAAAATGAGGATAGTGTAAGAAGCCTGTGGGACAACTTCAAGCTTACCATGGGGTGCCACATCATGGGGTGCCATAAGGAGAAGAGAATGGGCAAGAAATTAAAAACCTATTAGAGCCCTGGCCAGTTTGGCTCAGCGGTTAGAGCGTCGGCCTGTGGTCCGGAGAGACCCGGGTTCGGTTCCCGCTAAGGGCACGTACTTCGGTTGCAGTTTGTCCCCGGCCCTGGTTGGTCGTGCGGGTGGCAGCCACTCGATGTGTCCCTTCACGTCAATGTTTCTCTCTCTCTCTCCCTCCCACTCTATCTGTACAAAAAATGGAAAAATATCCTCGGGTGAGGATAAAAAAAAAAAAAAAAAAAAAACCTATTAGAAAAAATAATGACAGAAAACTTCCCTAACTTGGTGAAGAAAACAGACATACAAGTCCAGGAAGCACAGAGTCCCAAACAAGATGAACTCGAAGAGGTCAACACTGAGACACATCATCATCAAAATGCAAAAGGTTAAAGACAAAGAGAGAATCATAAAAGCAGCAAGAGAAAAGCAGTTAGTTACCTACAAAGGAGCTCCCATAAGACTGTCAGCCAATTTCTCAAAAGAAACTTTGTAGGCCGGAAGGGAGTGGCAAGAGATATTCAAAGTGATGAAAAGCAATGACCTACAACCAAGATGATGCTATCCTGTAAAGCTATCATTTAGAATCGATGGACATCTCAAGAGTTTCCCAGACAAGAAAAAGCTAAAGGAGTTCATTACCAACAAACCAGTATTATATGAAATGTTGAAGGGTCTTCTTGAAGAAGAAAAACAACAAAATGTCAATAACTACATATCTGTCAACAATTGAATCTACAGACGAAATGAGCTAGCACAACAGAAACAGACTCATAGATACAGAGAACTTTTTGTTGCTTGCCAAATGGGAGGGGGCTGGGTGAAAAAGATGAAGGAATTAAGAAGTACAAATTGGTTGTTAGACTGATGAACTTCAAAGGGAAGAGGGGAGGGAGGGCAGAATGAGATAAACCAAAGAACTTCTCTACAAATATGCATAACCAATGGACATAAACAACAGTGTGGGGAAGACAGGATGGGGGTGGGACTGGAAAGGAGGGGGTCAATGGGGGAAAAAGAGGAAAACATCTGTCATACATTCAACAATAAAGATAAGCTTTAAACAAAACATAGTGTATCTCCCCATTTATATAGGCCTTCTTTAATTTCTTTTGGCACATTTTTTGGTTCTATTTATCCCTAAGAATTTCATATATATTTTTTTTAATTTTGTATTTTCTATGCTACTGTAAATGGTGTTCTATTAGATTTTAATTGTCCAATCCAGTATGTAGAAATAACACTGACTGTATTGCATGGACCTGTATCCTGTAAGTGCACTAAACTCACCTATTAGTTGTTGCTTATTGTAGATTCCTTAGGACTTTGCACACCT